ACCCGACCCTGCCCCACCCCGACCACCGCCAGCCAATCACAACCCACCCACCGAAACGGCCATTCAGCGTCTGAGGGAAAATGGGGATTATTTGGGTGACAGGCTCTAATTTAGGTACGAGCCAGGGTCTAAAAAGCGACGACATAGACCCCTTATTTGCACACGTTAGTTTATATCCGCTATAACACCGATTATCGTGATTTTGAGTACGAATTAAAGCCCTTTAATTAAAGTATCCGAGAAAGCGTACCGTATATTAATAGCTTATAAGCTGGCTCTGATGCAGGCTTGCAAAGTCGGTGGGATATGCAGGCCATATGCGGCTCGGTGAGGCTCAAATGCGCATATACCCCTACCGCAACACCAAAACTCGACCAACCTAAAAACAGGTGCATCAGGGCCGGATTTTATCGTACCGACTTCTATGTAGGCTCAAAAGATAGCGCTTAATTAGCTCTATATGCTACGCATCTGCGAGTCAAATGCGACAGTGGCGCATTACGTTGTTGCGAGGACAAGTGTTCCTACGGCTCGCATATACGCATTTGAGCCTCACGTACCTACGTACTTTGAAAGCGTATAACTTAATGCGCCACGGTCTCATTTGGCTCGCAGATGCGTATCATATAGAGTCAATTAAGCGCTTTCTTTTGAGCCTATATAGAAGTTGGTACGAGAAGAATTGAGCCTAATGCACCTATTTTTATTAGGTAGGTGTACAGGTAGGAGCCTTGGCACTCCTGTTCTTACTGTGTACGTACCTACCTAGGACTAAACACTTCAAAATAACTCAACACGCCACGGTCGCATTTAGCTAGTGGATTAGTATATTACAGAGTTAATCAAGGGCTTTCTTTTAAGCCTTTATACGTACAAAATTGGCCCGAATGCACCTGTTTTCGAGGGGGTAAAATCGCGTTCATCGCTTAGTTTAGAAGGGCCTGTAGCTCTTTTAGTCCTATTTCGCAACCACACTACTTATCAAGACGTACTAAACCAGCATTTGTAGAGCTAAATACGCTCTACAAATACTGCTAGGTCTTATTATAATAAGTGTTGTAGTTGCGAAATAGGACTAAAAGAGCTATAGGCTAAATTCCATTTAGAGAAAGTAAAAATGGCCATTTCTAGCTTTGACGACCTTGTTTGTTAACTTAGACCTAGAGGGCACTCGTAAAAATAATATAGATTAAAAATTTAATATTGAAAGTACTAGCTAAAGCGTACCCGAATAGTACTTGTCGTATAGTAGTAGTGTATTGGGGCTTTAGATTCTTTATTAAAAAGTTAATTTGGAGCCTGTGGCCTAAACAATTACCATTTTCCCTTAGACCCTTAAATAAAAGCTAGAGGTAGGTGGGCGTCGGAGTGGTTACGGGCTAGGGGCGGGGTCAGTGCGAGGGGTCGGGGTGAGAGCGGCTGGGTCACGTGGGGGTGAGTGAAAGCCTACCACCAAAAGCCTTTATAAGGAGGGTCTGGGTGCTGAGACAAACCCTGGTCTCCTCCTTGGAGTCGATTTACCACGGTACTCAATCTGGAGATGTTCAATCTCTGAGAACTTTGCCATTCAGTCCTCGTCGATATCCCGAAGAACATCTTGAGCAAGGTTGTCAACGCTGCTATGGAAATGGTCACCGCTATTGGACTTGTCATCCTCTTTGGAATGTTGGTGGTTGTCCTCTTGGGCTTCATCGTCCCCGACGCTATCTGGGTGTGTTTCTGTCGGCCGTTGTCCAGAACCACGCTAATTCGAGAACAGAACTATTTCTGGCCGGCAAAACCTTCCGACGACAAATCACGTATGGGAAAGCAAAATGAAGACGAGAGAAAGCTTGCGACGGAGCGGGGATATTCCGATGCCCATCGTCGGGTCTTGTCTGATGCGATCTCTGAGTTAGATCTGCCCTCAGAAAAGGTTGATCATGTCAAGTCCACTATGACTAATGATAGCAAGGGAAACGAGACAGCCACAAAGACTGGCGTGGACAAGGTTGGAGAGAAGAAGGTTACTTGAGGTACTTCGTATCAGCAGAAAGCGAAGTCAAAGTGTGTTATTCTTAGGTAGTGGTCATAGAGCAACGACCAAAAATAAAATGAATGAAATGAAGCGAATGAATACCTACACAGCCTAACGGTACTCATCAGGAGGACTGAGTGGTGTGTAAGGTCTCTCAATCTACCAGTATCGGATTCTTAAATACTCGGCAATATATGTTGTGTCGCTAAGTGGTGTTGTTCTTGTGAGGTGTTGAACAGTCAGTCGTTGGAAACTTATTGCGCGAATACGAGTGAGGGGTAGGTTCGAGTGGGACCCACTATTATTGGTAATAAAAGTCATTTACTGGCTGAGCGATCTCTAGTTAGTGGAGCCAGCGCTCCGCCATTGAGCCGTGCGTCCTTGGCAAATCAAAGACATGTGAAGACGCAAAGCAAAGCAGATGACTGAAAACACCAAGTACCCCAGACTTCGGTAATACTCTCGTTTCAATTCACTTGTCCAACGCCAATGGCGTTCTCAGCGTTTTGTGTATACTTCACTTGTGCCTTCGAGTTTTTCTAAACCACAATATCGGTACCATACGAGTATCAATACCGACCTTGCCCCAGGCCAGGTGCCGTCAATTGATCTACAAGCTGCACCAGGGCTGCCCTGAATCTGGGGAAGGGGTTGAGGACAGGGGGTTTCTCCGGATTTTCTCACCAGAAAGCCGCTGGTCGAACACAGGAGACCAGACACACAGAACTTCTTTTGGAAATCTATCAACACCCTCGCCAACCACCAAAGGAGTGCAAGTATATATTACTGGGCTTCGGGAATACTCATACCAACTGCACTTCTACCTCACGGGTGCGGCCGGTTCTGACGGAACACGCCTACATACACGGTTTGACCGGCTCTTTGCGGAGTAAGTAAACGTTTTCTAGATCAACGCCAAAGACGAGCATTGCACCAGCAAAAGTCTCCCAATATCTCAAATCGTCTCTACAATGTCTGCCGACGGCCAATCCCCCAGAATATATCAACCTAAGCCTCGGAGGCCCTTCGAATACAACGGCGCTCCTCATCCTCCACCAAGTCCTCTCCTAACTCCAGCACATTTCGAGAATTCACTTTCTCGGACACATTCGATCCAGAATCTTACTTCCTCAACTCTCAAGGGCATATACTCAACCGATGGCTACGAAACAGACGGGGAGACTGAGCCACCCACGCCATGGGGTACAGACCAATATCCCCTCCACTCTCGCCCTATTGATCCCCCGCCTATACGAAAGATCCGCAGAAAATCTGTGACTCCCCATATCTCTCAATCAGCAATAATATTATCGTTTGCATGGCGGAGCACACTACTGTTTGTGACGGGTATGGGCTATGGAGGATTGGTACGACAGCTACACGACGACCAAAAGCTGGCTCCGTTTCAGATTGAGGGGATCATAAAACCAATGGACAATTGGATATACCTCGTGCTTTGGGGATTAGCTGGTATATTTTTAGGTAACCTGCTACCGTATATTGATACTCTTTTTTGTTCGGAAGCCCCTCTCAAGACAATCATACCACCTTCGGTGAGCACAGGTTTAAGTCCTGAGAGAGCTATACAAGAGCAATTGAATTCCGATGAATTAGTGGGTACGGACTGGCAGCCGGCAATCAGAAGCGTCGGAGCGTTTATGGGGATTGCTTTTGCAATTGTATGTACCTCAATTACCAAATTTAGAAATGTGCTAATCTTCGCAGCGAAAACTCCCTTGGGCATCATCCCTCCAAGCTTCTCTCACCCTCTTTCTCGTAAATCCAGTTCTCTGGTATCTAGTCGATCGATCCAAACCCGGATTCGTACTTTCGTCTGCCGTTGGGGCCACCGGAACCGCTTTATTACTTGCCTCGAATCCAGATATGTTACCGAGTCCAACCAGATTCGGTCTTGGAACAAACGAGTCGTTACAGAACATGGAGATTTTTGGGGACCTTGATATCATTGGTATCAGCGATTACGTTAGCCGAGAGAGTGTCGAAGGTGGCATTTGGATTCTCAGCGTGTTATTTTGCAGCTGTGTGTGTTTCGGCAACGTCGGAAGACGACTTGCTCTTTCTGGCTCTGGACCTACGAAGACTCAGAGATGAGGATGTCTAGTTAGCTGTTTTCCTACTATCTCCCTCCGAGATGGAGCTTGACATGCTGGGTTGTAACTTTACAATTTTCACTTCTGCGAAATTTTCTTTCATTGGTTTAGGTTGATTGGGTTGGATTAGGCAGGATAGGGTAGGGGACGGTTTATGGTTAAGCGTCATGGTTCATCAGGTGGACGGTTGGTTACATTAAGATGGATGAATCGGTTTAGGATTCGGAAAAGGTCGCCTCCCGTATTTATAGGTTGATAGCGAGGTAACGAGAGTAAAGCGTTGTACAATTCATTAGTCCATCTATAAAACAATGCACTTGTACCTATGCTTTTGAAATGGCTTTTGAAATGGAATATAATATCCCTTACTTAGTAATATCTACTCTACGAATAGGTAGAACCCTTAATTCGAGTTAGACTTAGTACTCTCGCTTATTAGAATAGTAGAATGCTATTAGCTATACTTAATTAGAACGTTCTACCCACTAGTAGAGTAGCTGTTTCGGAGTAAGGGATATTTGTTAGTACTCGTTCTTAGGAGTTATAAAGTAGTTTCTGTTCTATTTAGAATTAAGTTAAATAGATAGAAATTAACTAGAAATATACGTTCTTAATATATATCTAGGGGCTAAGGTAAGGGTAAGGGAGTTAGTATTTCTCGGGATATTTCGAACTTCCTTTATATATGTACTTTAATATAGCACTTTAATAAACCTAGTATACTTTAACGAACTAGCGTACTTTAATAAACCTACCCTAGCGTACTTTAATAAATCCGGCTTACTTATTTTTAGCCTGATTTTTAGCCTTTCCTTTCTACTTCTTTCCCGAATCCTATCTCTTCTTGTGACGGTTCTTACCGCCACCATGCCTCAAACCAGCCCCTGGCTGGCACCCGGCGTGCCCCGTGCTTCCCGAGCCCGGCTCGGTTAGCTATGGCTTGGCACACCTCCGGTATATAAGAGCTTCCAGCTCCTGGGTGTCACGAATCACGTGTTAGCACGTGGTTAGCGAAGACCAGGCGGCGTCCTGACAGGTCAAGCACTACCAGAATACTTATAGCAGATAGGGATGCTTAGGTTAGCTAAGCGATCCAGGGATTTCATAGCAATTATATCACGTGACCAGTAATGGTCGTTTGGTCGCGGCGACCAGCAGCGATCATGAGGATGAAGGTTCTATATAAGACTGGCACGTCTGCCTTTAGATAGGAGCTTCGTGCTCAACTTAGTTATCAATCTTATCATATTAGTTTGACATCTTTGATACAAGTAACGAGTTCACTTCCAAGTGAACAACCCGATAGTCTTCTTCTTATCATAGCATACCAACCAGCGAACACCCAGCCAAGTTTAGTTAGCCAGTTTGAGTATTCGTTACACTAAAGATATAGATCTCCTACTCCTTTCCTAGTAGTTAGGGGAGGAAAGGAGGGGAGATACTATACACTGAATATAACGTTCGGAGAACGCCTGTATTCTAGATTAACCTTATAGGAGTAAAATTTGGCCACGTGACAATGTAGCATTGTAAATTCCCAAAAATGAAAAACCGTGGCTAGTTTCAGGGACCGATGAGGTGCGTCATCACAAGTCCAGGAAAGTTTTTTGTGTGTCTCTTGGTCACTCACAGGAGTAATTTATTCTCTAAGACCATGTCCAAGGGGTTATATCCTACGATCAAGTCCGTTAGTGATTGGTTAGCAAATAGTCGAGATGATTCGGATTACTAGTAAACAGAGTCTCTCTGTACATGATCCGACGAGTTTTCTCGTAAAGGGATCGATACGTTCGGAGGATTTGAGGCGTTATATCCGACTTCACTACCGTCAGAATTCGAGAGAGAGGTCCAAAGTGTCGTCCCACTCAAATGCCTTGGAGACGATTTATCACAGTACTAGGTACTTTCTTTTGAGTATATTAGCACGGAGTTCAATTGGGAGGTCCAAGGACGCTCGGGGCCGAACGATTGAGTAGGTATCTTGATCGGGCTCTGAAATATAAGGCTTCCGAGTCTCCGAGAGGTAATTGGTCACTATTCGAGTAATTGAGTGCTCAGTGGTGGAATTGAATTTGACTTTATAAGGGTTGTGCAGATACGGGAGACAGGACGTCTTAACGGGCTTAATCTTAATCTTAGGATAAGGTTAAGGTTGAGGAACGTTTCAACCTTCCCTTTTTGGATTGTTTCATCCCTGTAGATAGGGGCAGCCACGATCAGCCACTACGCTGGCAGAAGGACTTCTTCTGTTCATCCATTTTTCAACCACGAACTCGGTTTTCGTCTATTTTATATTTCATAGATTTGGAAGAAGAGATGTTTCCGCCAGGTCGAAACAAATCACTAACACGTCCACCAGATCCATTTCCCGGTTATTAGACGAACAAGAGTTTCCTTAAACTCCAATGGAGAAGGCCAAGCTTTGCGGAAGCAGACATACTAATAAATTGGCCAATAAATGGCCTGTGTATCGGAATGTGAGAAGGTGCCGATATTATTCCTCCTTTTTTCAGCCGATAAAGTTCCTCTCCTAAAACAGAACGCAGGGCAGATCCCGCGACACTTGAGGCGACTTGGAAAATACATGATGGAATGGACTGTCTCAGGTAAAAGTAAGGCGGATAATGGACAACCTTTCAAGGAGTCGGGGTTGTAAAGACTCTTTGCTCCTTCGATATTCCACCGTCTGATCATATAATCTGTTTCTATTTTTTTTTGCTCCTCTTACAACCGTTGAGCAATGTCACGACTCCAGAAATTGATAATACCTGTTGCGCTCTTTAATCTGGTTCTCTTCCTTTTGTATAAACATAACTATGTGTCTGACGGGTCCTTGTTGCGTTCCTACTGTGCGAATTTAGACTTCTCGCCATCCACAGGTACATCTTCCTCTTCGCAGAATCAAACTCTACGAGAGTTGGGAAGGTTTCTCCAGATTCCAATATCGCTGCCGACGATCTTCACAACAACAGCTTCGACATCTACTCCCTCGACATCTACTCCTTCAACATCTACTTCTTCAGCGGTTCATATACCCGAAAATGCAGCAAATCTACCCGGACATGCAGCAAAGACCTCTCCTCCTACACCTGGCCCAAGTCATATCCCAATGAAAATATGGTACAAGATGGGGCCCAAAGGAATCAGCCCCGAATCTGACGGTTATATCAATCATTGTCTGGAACTGAATCCGGAATACCGGCATGAAGTCTTTACAGATATAACCGCAGAAATATACGTGAGGGAAAACTTTGCCCACCGCCCAGATGTCGTCTCCGTTTACGAAGCACTCACAATTCCGATCTTAAAAGCCGACCTTCTACGATACTTGATATTATATGTTGAGGGAGGAATTTGGAGCGACTTGGATGTCTCGTGTGAGGAAATACCAATCAGCGGATTCATCCCAACAGAGTTCAAGGACAAAGCAGGATTGGTGGTTGGATTGGAGTTCGACGAAGATTCTTCCAAGGATGGATGGATTGGCTCCCAATTCGCCAGTTGGTGGATTATGTCGAGACCTTCACTCCCTCATATGATGGTTATTGTTGATGATATAGTCAAGGAACTTAAACAGATCGCAGAAGTGAATGGAGTGGATATCGCGGGAATACAGGTGCCTATGCTATCGGACGTTGTGCAGGTCACAGGGCCGAAAAGGCTGACTTGGAGTGTGATCAGGAGTTTGGAAACAACTCTGGGGACCATGGTGGATGACAGAAATATCTCAGGACTTCATACGCCGAAATTGATCGGTGATGTTCTGGTGATGCCAGGAAATGCTTTTGCCGCCTTTCAGAATGGGGACCCAACAGACCAAGGTCCTAAGTTGGTGTCGCACCATTATGCCGGATCTTGGAAGAACGACAAGGGTGGTGAAGATTAAAGAAATCTTTGGTTTGGGTGGTTATAATTCACAGGGATGAATGAACAACCGGTAACTTGTAGTTTTATCTAATGGCATTGGTTATGGGAAAGGTTAGCATTGGGTTGGCGTCTGGAGTTTTATAGTCAATCGATGACTTTCGTCGCAAGAGCAAGGGCCAGTATTCTGTATCGTACAAGGTATTCTATGTATAAGGCATTAACATATTCAAGAAGTATAAATACATTCTGTTTCCCTCCATGTCCAATATCAGTTTGATTACTGATATCTTTCATCGATATCAGTATCGCAGTCATCCTCCACAACTGCATTTTCCACGGGAGCATACCGCATGCTCAGAAGGATATTTGCGGCGTCCGATTCTTCTTGAGAAGGCTCTCCACTCATCCCTTCTCGACTCGAATGGTGGACCACCGCACTTTGACTGAAAAGAAGAAGGGTATTTGCAGCCTCCATCCTTTCTGCTTCCTCTTTTTCTTTTTCAACCCACACCCTTGCCTCTGTGACAATGGATTTCAGAAGCTCACTCTCCTTCTCCGTCTCCAACAACTGCAATGTCTTGAAGTAGAGTTCTTGATCTTCTATGACTGATCGGTAGTCCCACTTTTCTACCGAGTAAAGATCATTGGTTGCTTTGTTCAACGAGCGAGTCGCCAGGTCTGAAGATTGGATGAAGAGCAGACTGAGAACTGTGGTTATTTTTAGCACGAGTATGAGGTTATTGATTGGAGACATGCTACTTACAACGCTCCCTCATTTTTTGTTGAGACCAAACTTTGATTGGTTCGCCAAAGTATGTTTTTGGCGAGCTCGCTAACTCACTCACTGACTGTGGTGGAGTGATGAGTGAACCTGCAGAGGAATTGCCAGCCTTGCTAGGTACTGGCTTGACTTTGTGAGGTCTCGACATCTTTGATTGGCTGTGGGGCATTGTGTTAGGAGCCTTTATTTTGAGGATAGTCAATGGTAGAGATTGACAGAAGTGTTGGATCAAATGTCTAAGAAGAAGTGAAAGTGGGAATGTGAGAAGATGTGAAGGTGAATGGGAGCTTTTATATTTGTGTTTTGGCACCAATGGTCTTAGTGGCCGAGAGATACTTGAGAATTGCTGGGTAATTTGTGATCTCATTGCAATTGTGGTAGGTAACGACGTTGCTATAAGAGGTAGAATTTTCATGCTAAATTCGACGGTTCGCTTAAGAGCCTCGACGGCGCGAAAGCTAAGATCGCGCAATAGAAGAAGAAAAGAGCTGTGGTCGCAGAAAAGTACAAGACTAGTTCAATCGCTTTTTTTTTTATGAGACTTGGGCTCATAAATTGGTGGACTCAATCATTTGTTGCCATCTTATTCGATTTTCCTCGGCTACGTACTTGAAAAACAAGTTACGAGGTGTACATTCGACTCTTCGACTCATTTTCTTAGGTGAACGACTTCCATTTAATAATTCATGACAGCTGAAACCAGTATAATACATACATCTAGAGTCCACTCTATCAATCCCCAAATCCCATCCAAGATATGTAGTCACTTTTAGCGGACATGAGAATCGGCCTACAAAGATCTTAGCGAAGCACTTCTCAAGCTACGGAAGGCTACGCGCCACCACAATGACCATATATTCCTTGTTAACACGGGGTTAATTCATTGAGCTATCTACGAGGGGGTTTTAATCTTCCCTCACCTTTGACGATTGCGCCTTTCCTGGCTTTTCTTTGGCGTCCCTCCAGATTGATTTGGTGCTCATATTCTAGTTTCCAACATAGAAATGAAGAAGACTAGCTAAATTTCAGGGCCAAATTCAACCTGAAGTTAGTGACTGCGGAAAATGTCTTTTCCAAATATGATTGGTGTAGTCTTGGTCTTTCTGGTGGGTCATCGCTAACACTTGCTGACCCGTGGACGATCCGTCTTTTTGCCATCATATTATCCAAGGCAAGAGGATGTGTAGCTGTAAAGATGAATATTTGAGGGGTGGATCAGGATGGCTTCTTCTCAGTTCAAAATGGAAAGGCTGATGAGGATTTACCATAAAAAGATTGTCTTGTTTGGAGCGAATGTGATCGATCCACTTAGTAGACTATTCGGCGACCCGGTGCTGTAAAAAGGTGTCACTGTCGTAGTAACCTAGGATAATATCCTCATTTAATAATTATGTTATCAAATTAAACCTCACTAGCAAATAGTAACTTATCCCTATTTGTTTGCAATTGGCGCAAAAGAAAGGGGAAGTACATACTCCACGTGACCATGATAGAAGATCCCTGCGACAAATAACCTTATCCATGTTGAAAAAAGTTCCCAGGATTTTTGTCTCCCATACTTACACACCATCACCAGATCTTGAGCTTTGCCAAAACAACAACACCACAATGGCGAAACGAAAGCGCAATGCCACTACCGAATCTGCCGTTAGTAGTACACCGCTTCCGAGCAAAAAAATCAAAGCAACCTCCCTTCCTACGCCCAGGAAACCCACCACCATACAGATTATCGCGGGGTCCTACGATCGCGTCCTCCACGGATTGACAGCTACCATATCTCCCGACGACAATGTCGAATTCGCTGACACATTCCTTTTCAATGCCCATACGACCGCTATTCGATGCCTCGCCCTCTCCCCGCCATCTGCGCCCGTCCCGAAGCAACAGCAAAAGGTCATACTCGCAAGCGGCAGTACTGATGAACGAATAAACCTTTACCACATCTCCGCACATGCGCCATCACATATCACAGTGCCCGTAATCGCTGGATTTTCTGCCAAGGCAGTGGTTGAGAACCCTCAGAATAAGGAATTGGGCTCGTTGTTGCACCATTCGAGTTCGGTGACCGCGCTCTATTTTCCCAATCGGAGCAAGTTGTTGAGTGCGGCAGAAGACAACTCAATTGCGGTGACGAGGACAAGAGACTGGAGTTTGCTAAGTAACATTAAGGTTCCGGTTCCAAAATCAATGGGAAGACCGAGTGGTGACACTGCTCCTTTGGGTGGCGCCCCGTCTGGAGTCAACGATTTCGCGGTACATCCGAGTATGAAGCTTATGATATCAGTTGGGAAGGGAGAGAAGAGTATGCGACTGTGGAATTTGGTTACTGGGAAAAAAGCCGGTGTTCTGACCTTTGAAAGAAATATCTTGCAAGAAGTAGGAGAAGGCAGATATACAAGTGGCGAGGGAAGGAAAGTGGTATGGGGCTCTACGGATGCCCGGGACGAGTTTTGTGTGGGATTTGATAAAGGAGCGGTGGTTTATGGAATGGACTGCAAACCAAAATGCAAGGTCGTCCCTAAACCTCGAGGGACAGGGCACAAATGGACGAAAATCCATCAGATGTGCTATATTCCTGTGGGTGAGGAGGAGGATATTCACATACTCGCTGTCTCGACAGAGGATGGAAGAATACTGTTCTATTCGACACGACCTGATGACTTGGTCAAGGACCCATCTACTGGAGACAAAGGTGATGCGCTGCAGTCCGCCAAATTGATTGCCATTCTTGATAGCAAAGACAATACTACGCAGAACGAGAGTAAAGGCACAAAATCTGAAGAAACGCCAACACGTATCAAGGATTTTTCTTTTATGAATGTTGGCGAAGGAACCACCAAGGATATGATCATCGTGGCAGGGAAAAGTGACGGCACATTACAGATATTCAAGCTAGCTGCATCAGACTTGCTTCCACAAAGTAAGGATGAAGTCAAGAATGTTGGAAAGGTACTTGGGTCGTCGAAAACTGGAAATCGCATTACATGTCTTAAATCTTTTGTAATGCTGCCAAGCTTTGATGGCGAAGAAGAAGACGATTTTACAGATTTGGAAGGATTTGATGAAGATGGGGATGAAGGGAAGGAGGAAGATAGCAGTAGCGATGATAGCGAGTAATTGATACCCCGACTACCTAGCAAGTAATGAAAATTGTAGAACTCTATGTAAGATTGTGTTCATGATAGTAGATCTCGCGGTGAAGTGGCTTTATGATCTCTGGTGATTCCAATTTCGTCCTTTGAGTAAAGACACTTGATACGATACGAGAGTATTGATTTATTGAGTATGGTTTTTACAGCAGAGGCGGCTATCTGGGCCACATGAACTAGGAAGCCATAATAGAGGGTGTAAAGCCACAGAGGGCGTAAGGCTACAGAGGGGATGTAGCCAGAAGGGAGCAGCTACTGTCTGTTGAAGGGCCGACTTCCACTGATGTATTTAGTCCCAGTAGCCAATGTCAAGAGTGCTCTTTGAGCACAACGTTGTTTTTGATTTCGCACATTTTCAAGGTTACGTTCGTCTAAAACGACTAAGCGAGACGAAGCGATACAACTACCCCCTCGCTCGAGGACATGAAACAAAAAGAACTGAGTAGATTCGGATGGGAATACTACTTGTTATGCTGTTGTGTTATATGGCTAGTATTGTGTGTTGCCTCTATTCACCCACCATGGATGCGTGGCATCATTTCGCTCAAGTGAAGTAATTAGGTATTGTTATCGCCGATGCACAATACCAGAAACTCGCTTCAATTCACTGCTCAACACCCAACGACTACAATAAACTCCAGCCTCGGTATTTACCCCCCACCTATTGTTGTCTACTTCTGCCAAACCACACTTTCGCATCTGCAACCTTTTACAACTTGAATCACCTCAACTTACCAGCTACGCAACATCATTCACACTTGATTCGTGCGTCAAGCACAAATCTCAGCGACTTTATTGAAAACAAAACCGCGTTGGACCAGCCACTCTTCGTCCCAAACGTCACAATGTTCCGCCCACCCCAACGAGTCATATCATCCCCATTAAGACGCAACCAAGAACGTCACTATAGGAAATTCGGTAACCCTCCTTACACTAGCGAGCGATTCCATGCGAAGCTCCTCGGAAAAGACCAACGACCGGAACGTGACGAGGCGAATCACGTGCCCCGAGAGCACTCTTGCGACAATCCCCTACCCTCCATCGAGGATCCAGAAGCCAACATTCACTTTGACGAGTACCACGGTGTTCGAAACTACTCTGAAGAACCCGCCGACGCATTGTTGGCAGACATTAGAGCGCGCCTTGAGCGCCTTGACCAATACGACGCACTCGCTTACCAAGCTGGCTTCAACAAGAAGAGATCTCGCTTCCGCACTCCTACTCCGTACCCTCGTTTCGACGATGTTGATTCCGATTCGGACGAGCCGAGCCCTAAGCGAGCCAGACACGACAATTATGAACACCCCGTGAAGGCCTATGATTGGGCAGGCCTTAGTATCACCCCGGGCTGTCCGTACCATACGCTAGATCGCGGCGTCTCTTCTTCTCTCCAACTGACTGTGGAGAACGTGGCGAGGTTGGATAGCTTCGAGGGACTTGGTGGAACGACCCTTGGATCGCAAGATTCTGACGTCAGTTGGAAGCCATCGGAGAGTGTGAGTGTAAGTGAGGATACTCTTTGTGGAAGCAGCAGTGGATATGAAGGGGATGTAGAGAAGGGGTTTGGCGCTCCGGAGAAATATAGCGAGGATGAAGAGGAGGAATATGACGAGGATGAAGATGAGGAAAGTGAGGATACTCTTTGTGGAAGCGTTAGTGGATATGAAGGGGACGTGGAGTGGTTTAGTGCGGAGGAGGAATATAACGAGGACGAAGAGGAGGAAAGTGATTCGGAGGAGGAGTTTTACGATGGTGTTATGGTTCATATGGCGCAGATGGAGGAGGGAAGAGATTTTCAGGAGAATTTCGATGAGTTTTAGTTGGGATTCGAAATTGCTTTGCGATATATGTTCGCTTTTGGTAGTATATATTTGTGGAATATATACAATTACGCATTCCGTGAGCGCATTCTAATGGGGTTTTGTGTTGTCTAGTTAACTATAACTGAGATATATAGTAAATTTAGTAGAATACATTTACGCTACGTAGTTCTCGCTTACGTAAATACTAAATATAGTTCTTTTTCTTTCCGTTTCTTTCTTTGTAGTGCCTAGAGTTTAGTAATTCCTTATAACTTTTACATACATGTATTCTTATTCTGGCTATATTAGATACTAAAGTCTTTTATTTATACACTTATATTACTATTTCTTTTCTTATTTTTTACTTTTATTATAGTAATTAAGATACTATCTTTAATTAGTACCTTAATTTATATATTACTAGTTATTAAATAAAAATTAAGTTTTATTAGATATATAAAGTTATTTTATTTAGAAAGAAATATTCTAAGTATTTTAATTATATTTCTTTAATAAGTTTTCTCTTTTAATTATTTAAATAATTTTAAGTAACTTAATAATTCTAAGTTATTTAGAGCTAAAATTATATATATTCTCTTGGATATAAACTTTAAGAAACCGAGGCTCTGTTAACTTAAAACAAATAATTTATTTAATTAAATTAATAATATAATTTAAATTATTTCTTTATTAATAAGGTTTAATACTTTACTACGTAGAATAAATAATATAGAAATTAAAACAAAATTACACTAGTTAAATTAAGAAAATACTAAGTTCCTTTTATAGCTCCTTAATTAATTTAATATTATATAAGAGTAGAATATTACTCAAGTAAGCGATAAAAAAAAAGAATTCCCGGAGCGAAAGGCTCTTGATCTTTATAATTTAGACTTACCTTACTTTAAAATAAGTTCAAAGCAAGTATGTCTTTTTAAATTGTTTTGTAGGATTATAAGTTATACTTATTCGTCCTTTCTACTAGGATTAAATAGGTAAAATCTCTGGCAACCTTTGTCCAACTCCTGGGAGGTCTGTAGTAAGTTACTTTTTAGCAAGGAAGTGCGTGCCGCAAGAGTAAGTAGGTAAGGCTTCGGAAGTGAAAATTTCAAAAGCAAGAGGCGCGCTAGAACTGTGCGTCTTGTAAGGCGAGAATTGGTAGGGAGTACGAGGTTAGTAGCTTAAATATTCCTCACGTTCTGACTTATAATTTTTAGATTCCATTGACCATAATGAGGTGGTGGCTTGATATTATAGTACCGCGCTAGAATATTGCTAAGACTGGTACATTGTGTGCTGTATAATTGCGTTATATGGTCCATTTTCTCTGTATATTCATCTATATTAGCTCGTAGATTTCTTACATTCACTTCATCTATATCATAAAGTTGAGCGTTGGTCCGCTGAGGTAAAAAGAGTAAATTCCGCGTTGGTGGTTCATAGTCGCTTGTAGAAAATACGGGACTTCTTTATAGAATTGAACGCAATGGTAGTGAAAGCATAAGGGAGTTTCTAGTACCTAAAACTAGCAAGGACCAAAGTCTATCCGAAGCAGATATATTATCCACAACTTGAAATCTGCCGGATGATACACCGTAGATACGTAAAGAGAAGTCTGATATCGACTAAGAGAGTCGGGAATAGGCAGCGGCCTAATCGGTGAGGAGTGGCGCCATGATTGGGAGACGTGCAGCGATTATTTGAGACAGTCATTTCAAGGAAGACCCAGATTTGAATGAGCGTGTCATGTTCTGTTGAGACGTCGTCGGCAAGGCTTCGAGGACATCAGTTGATTGTAATCATCAAAGACAGGGGGAACTTGCAAAACTTGACTTAGTTTTAAAGTTTTTGAAGTGATAAAATAGTAGGTAATAAAAGTAGAGCAGATGGAGTATATACTCCAGTGGTTGAGACTGGTTTCTTTTGTGATTGTCAACATCTCAGGACTGTCGTATCAGTACCCTGGCAAGCAACAGATGCAAGCAAATATTACTGTAAAAACTATTCCCGCATATCTACTCACTAAAACTGAGCAAAATGAACAAACCGTCCCACTTAAAATCTTGATTACTGCCCCTAAGCCTCAGAGAAAAACTTAATACAACCATGAAACTGGCGAGGTCTTTGGAGACAGCTACTATGACTACAAGTCTTGTAGTAATTGGCGATCGTAAAAAGTGCTACGTCGCTCGAGCGACTTTAGCGGCGTCTACTTCTTTCATTGGTAATAAAGAATACAGAGAGGAAGAATGTGCTGGTGTAAGGTAGAAAAGTTAGCTTCGGGTACGGTCTAAAGTTCCTCATATGCTCGGATTTAAGCATTAAAATAGAACATGTACAAGGATCAAAATATGCAAGGTTGGCTTTTACATATACTGGGAATATTGCGTTTATTCACCCAGCCTGTTTGTTGCAAGACGTAAGAGTAAGTGAGTGATATACGGCACAGCAAGTCTTCCTGTTGGTGTATGCACAATTGTTAGTTGGTTTATGCATAACTGTTGTTTACAGGACGTAAGAGGAAAGTGGCAAATATGAGGCATAGTCATCAAGTAGATCTTCCCTCAATTAGACACCAGTGTTGTTGAATGTTTTTGTAGCTACAGTTTATATTCCATGTACTTAAAACAAGATTTGTTGGTTCCCACATGTCTTGCATGTAGTGCCCCAAGCACGCATAGATAACAGCGGCAAAGATACCGGCAGATTTCATCATAAGCACTCGCCTTGCTCTCTTCCTCCGCTGTTGGTCTCCTAAAGAAGGTTTGAAGTCCGAGCCACACACCGTTAAGAAGGGATCTAAAACGTTGCGCTATATACTTGAAGATAACATGTACGAGGCATTCAACTCCCTGAACATTTCTGGGGTCATAACATCATCCAACAGTTTGTTTACTGCAGGTAAGCCGCCACCAACACTCCAAAACCTATAAGGCCTCAACTTAACCTCCTAAGGATACCCACGTACTATAACCTTACTTGAGATTTAAAAACAGATATTCAGTGTTCTACTATACCAGGAGCCTCGATTTTAACGCCCTGCAGATATGGCGGAAGTAAAGAACACCACAGCTCAAGAAAGCCCAAAGACCCAGCGCATGATAAGACTTGACATTTACGTCAAGAAACATCCCTCAATAACCCACGAGGAATTCCATGAGTGAGTGAATGTCTTTCATACAGTATATTCACAAATCTAAAGTTGCATTTTAGGCGGTGGTCCACGGTACACGGTTCTCTAGTCAAAGGGTGGCTCGCTGAGAAAGGCATCTACCGCTACACTCAAGTAAGAAGCTCTCCTAACATTTGATTTTGATCATTGGCTCCAGTTTAATACAAAGCAGTTCCACTCGCCACCTGAATTGACTTCAGCATCTCTTGGAATCCATGATGATGCTAAAATATTGGATTTTGATGGCCATGCCGAGGTAGTCGTCCCAAATATTGATGTGTTGAGACAACTGGTCAAAGACAACTTCTTTGCCGACCACGCAACTCCTGACCAGGAGGCCATTACGGACATGGGAAGTGTGATGCGGATCATTGGGTATGAAGAGGTTCATATAGAGAACGGAAAGGCTGTTGAGGTCTGAGATGAAGGGAAATTATTGTTGTCTTACGAATCGATTATGAATCATAAAATATAAATTCGTATAGTGTATTGGAATTTCTAAAACTCTACCTGTGGTTATTGCATAAACGAAGCTCTTATATGGCATATACTTGAATGCCCTGGAGGTAGGATCCTGTCTGCTTCTCGCACCGCAATATCAAATTGGCGGATGTTTCGGTTCCTCCCCCTGGTTTTAACCATGGACTTTTCAGTAGCCTCTAACAGTCCTCCAAAACTACCCCAAGGGTACACCTAAGGTCCAAAATGCTGAGGTCTAAATTCAGGTGAGAATGGCGCCCAAAGAACAGTGCACGCGCCATAAATAGCTGGGGAAAACAACATTGACTTCTACAAATTATCTTAGCATACAGCGTTCCTAGTGTTATGTTGCAAAGTCTGAGATGATCTCATCGTAAGCATCATAATAATGCCACTCCAATAGCGTTGTAGCCCATTTCAAATATTTCCTGGGCTGAAAAAGGCATGTGCGACTCCATTTTGAGGTATAGCTTTAGCATACACCTTCGCGAAAAAGGAAATAGCCTGTTTTACTTTATCCACAACAGAGAGCATGCCTGTGTCTCATGGTCAGTCAATGTAATCTATTACCATACCGTCAGATTGTGGCGAGTTTGTGTGGAATACGATTGTTCCAGCCTATTGAACCTGACGCTGCCTGTTGTGTTGGATGTAACGATCTTCATTAGGGTTGGGAGGAGTGATTTATATAAGAAGCAAGGTCCGACGCAGTTTGTTTGAATCTAGACCTCGTTGAATAAAATATCGCTGTTACAGGACCTTTCAACATGGCCTACACATGGTAAACAGTGCGTCAAGTCAAATAAGATATTTATACGCATCTATTGAAGAGTTCAGACTCTACTTACACCTACATTAAGCATCAGTACATACACTCGCTGCTCTCACGCTATAAATGTTTCCACGCCAGACTTGTTGGTTAATAAGTCATACAAGTTCACAAATATAAACTCAACGACGGCCAGGACTCCTTGGCGAAGCATTCTCGATGTTGGATTTCACGCCAGAAGAATTGACCTCAGACCCTCCGGCAATATGAACAGTAACATCGTGGCTGTCAAGATTCTGGCAGAGGTCAAATACAACACCGCTATAACCTCCAGTCATAAGGAAAACCTCGAGGTGTGTCAATTTGTCAGATGCTCTACACAGATCTCTACCACCTGGTAAAAATGCGACTTGGAAAGGGTTTCTAATATTTGGTATTTGGAATATGTTTTCAAAGATTCCACGATTCTATTACAGTGTAGGATATTCTAGGGGCGCTTTTGGCCTGGAATGGAATATTCTAGAAGATGATAATCTTGACATAGAAATCTAGAGAATATACGTATTTTCCTTTTTGACTAATAGTGTAACAGATTTGATTCTACACCCTGACAAATAGCGAGCATATCACAATCTAAAGTAAAATGGGATAACAGTCGAATAAACTATAGTATAACGGTCAGTAAATTACTCATATGCTACTAGCTAGCGTAACACGCTTAAAGCGTGCTAACGTGGTCCACTCAATGGGTAGAAATAGATAGGCTAGTAAAAACTTAGTAAGCGAAAGAGTTTTCAGCCCGTATCATGAATAGACCGGTGTAACTATTTGCACAGACCATATGATAAATTCCAAGCCAGAATTCCAGAATCCAAATCCCGTCGTGCACTTTTAGGATATTTCAGGATTCTAATGAATTCAAACAGGATATGTCTAGAATGGGAAAAAAAAAACTCCTGATGCCGAACGTTGAGGGTTTCGGCTAATTTTGTTTTGTCATGCTTCTTGACCTTGGTAGCTATTTGAGAAACATCAACTTAGCAATTCTTCTCTACAGAGGCTTTCACATGCTACTTGAGACTGAGTCGACTGTCTCCGCAAACATTTGCCTTTTCAAAAAATGATAGACAAGATATCTCCAATGCCTCAACCTCCCTCCGCCTCCACCCCGCTCCATTCCGCTCCTCCCTTTCCCAAGAATCACAGTAAGCGACATGCCCCAAGCAAGGATAGAGAGTATCCTTTAACCAGCTCCGCGGCCCCAATTCTCTTGAAACATGAAACAACTTAATCGAGTGTGGGGTAACGGTAATATCCTCGTCCGGAGTGGCGACAGCAACCATCCAGGTCCCATAAAACCCCTCCATTCGACTGACCCCGTCCAACAACAGTAAAGTCCATCTAGACCATCAAGGATATTACCGACACCACTTTCCAACCCACCTGAACATCTTCTTCCTTCCTATTCCGAATCGTGAAACATTCAAAAAAGAATAAAAATGATGCAAACAAGGCAACTTCTCACCTGCTCCATCCGAACGAAGAACCAAGAAAAACATAAGCATTACCAAGAGTCTATTTCCAATCCACCCCCACAAAATCCCAACCAAACACAGTCCGTAGATCAGATCAACCCGAACACCCAAGAGAAAAAAAAGAAACGAAAAAAAACAAACCCAAGAATCAAGCTTCCGGTTCATGCACAACATAATTTCTATTTCCATCACCATGAAACCAAACAAAATCCCCACAAGATAAGCGAGGAGCCCGCCCATCCCAAAAAAAAGGATGTTGGCAACGGCTTACAAGAAACTCAAAAGATGCTGCGTAGGGACGATCAAACAAGCGAGAGGGACCCAGAGAACAAGTCTCACCTCCAACCCTCGCGCGTGCGTCAAAGCATTCCAGTCCAAAATAAACATGGCCCCCGAACGACGATGTGCAGGAAACTCGAATCGAAACGATAATACCAACCCGGACCGAAACCAAACCAAACCAAACCAAACCAAAATAATGATCGTCCAAGCAAGCCTTTCCGCGACACCCGTTCCCGTCTTATCCCGTCTCTCCCCTTCAAAAATACCACCTCCAAAAAAGCCCTCAAAAGGATATCCCAAAAATGCCCGAGCATTATCCCGTAGTCACGCGCCCAAAAAAAGAAGCAAGAGAACAACTGACCAGAAAGCTTTGAACTCAGACCGCATCCTGACGAAACATTGTCAGACGACAGACGTCAAAACACAAACGTGGACGGAAGAAGCAAATGGAAGTGTAGCATGACTCTTTCCATACTTAGCCCAAGAAGACACTTTCTTCATCCGCCTTCCAAGCAATGATCCAAGACAGGACCCATAGGGACTCGCGAAACGTGGTGACCATCGATATCCATCATCTCCAAGTCCGATGGAAACGAACCCCAGATCCAAGCCGTTGCGAAAATCTATTATAACCACGTGTTGGACCCTTTTCAGTCCAGTGACTAATAGAAGTATATTCGTGATCCCAAACTCTAAGAATGAACCCATTTACATGCGAAAATAGCTCTGCGAAATAGCCTGTAACACTCGGAAATCCACAACCAGTAAACTTACTAGTATGATATTATAAACCAAACAACTAACTTGTATATCCTACCGCGCCAAGTAAACAAGCCCTACAAAACCTGCTCTTCGAAAAAGAAAGCCATTTGCTATACGAGTAACAGAAACATCACGCCCACCCCCACATAAAACTCCCTCCCTAGCAATTTTCCCACTCAAAGCTCAAAACACAGCCTAAAAACCAACAAACACCATACACACATACACAAACACCACCTCGAATAGCTCCTAAACCCCTCGTCCATGGGCAAACCCCCACCCGCCGACCTACTTAGGCGAGACCACTCAACGGTAGACGAGTACTCTACTCACAGAACGTTACTCACATACAGTACAAGCTTATTATTAAATCAGTTAAATAAGTAAGTAAGTAAAGAAAGAAGGTGAAGCGTGGACCCTCCTCTACTACAACTCCTACTCTACTACAACAAGAGAATAGCTACCTACTTAGTACATCTCACACCCAATCCCCAGCAAAACCGACGAATCAAAGACTCGCTCCGTAAAATCCAAAGTTCCAAACACACACCTTCCCACCTTCCCACCAATAACCTGCGTAGCAAGGCTCCTTTTAGTTATTCCATTCCACCTATTTATCTACCTCCTGCATAACTCCAAAGGTAAACCCAATAGATCAGCAAAACCTCACCAACTCCCTTAATCCCCCTTAGTTACGCCCTAGATTCCATCTCCCCTCCATCCCCCCCCCC